TTGACTGATTTTTTCTAGCTTTACATTAATTTCACTCTTTGCCTATTTTATTTACTGTAGTCTCTCTTTCATGACTATAGCAGTATGTTCCTGTAAGACTTACGACAGTAACTTGTTTTATGAATGTGTACGCAAGGAAGGTCTCTGTTCCACTAGGTTGGTTAATTAGTAATAGTCATTGAGGTACCTCTCCGATTGCAGACACGAAACTCACTGCTTCAGCCCCAGGCAGATGCTGCTCCTAACTGCTTCTCAGCACAAGGGAATTAGAGGGAGGAGTCACCTTTTACAGCTGGCACCACTGTGGCTCCCAAACGACAAACCCTGTCAGTGTTCCAGGTGACCATACTGTTTCTTCTACACAAGACTTGATACTTGTGATATAATGAGTCAAAAGAAAAACATATTTGGTCATCCAGATTACCAAATTTATATTTTCCAGGTTTATTTGGTCTTCACCCACAGTTCCTGAAAACACTTTGGAGCCTTAAGGTGAAATGGGTGTGTTGTCATATTAATGAGAGGCTTTTGGACCCCAACCAAAGGCAGACGTTGAATCAGCCAACGTCCAATGACTTAATCAGTCATGACTCTGCAATGAAGTGCTCACAAAAATCCAAAAGAGCCAATCTCTCCCTTGCGTCCTGCTTCTCTGCTGGAGAGATCTTCCATGCTTGGGAAACCAGAAAGTGCCACTGAACCAGGCCCCAAGCTCCACAATGATAGAAGTTTCTTTATTTGGGACCTTGCCCTATGTACCGCTTCATGGGGCTGTTAACCTGTATCCTTTATTAAACTGGTAAACCTAAGTGTTTTCCTGAGTTCCATGAGTCGCTCTAGCAAACTAATCGAACCAAAGGGGGAGGTTGTTGGACCCGCCATCTGTAGCTGGATGGTTAGAAACACAGGTGCTTGGAACGGTGGGTGGAGGGCAGTCTTGTAGGAGGGAGCCCTTCACCTAGGAATTCTGGTGCTGTCTCTGGGAGGATAGCAGCAGAATTGAGTTGAGCTCTTGGACACCCTCCTGGTGTTCCAGAATTGCTTGGTGTTGTGTGTTGGATGATACCCCCCACCCCCCGACGCCCCGACACAAACACACACACACACACTAGAATCAGGTCTGGCAACATGAAAGGAGTTATACTATTGTTCTGTCTAATAAGAACACACTGCTTCTTCAGCATTATGTTTTAAGTTAGATTTTTTTCCCTGTTATGTGTCTGGGCAGATATAATTCTGTGGGCTTTCTATCTTTCAAGAATTCCTCAAAATGAGTGATCCACCTCTGATACTTTCCATTCTCTTCTATGATGTTGTGCTTTTGTTTTCTCATTGCTATACAGGTGTGGGTAAAACTGCAGTATTTCCAGAATCTCCCGCCTGGCCTTAGCATATCTCCATATTGATAGGTGTTCCCAAGGGGCGCAGAGTACATCTCCATCTCAATAGGTAATTACAAGGGCAAGCAGAGCTTGTCTGGGCCAGAGAGGCTGGGTGGGGTTCCTTTTTCTGCAGCCAGGTTGTGAGAGACACAGGAGAGTAGAAGTGGATGACTGCTTGTAAACAATAAACAGGTTTCTCCCACTTTACTTCTCCCTTTGACTGATTTTAGTTTCAAAGGTATTTTGCCCCGGGATTTTCTCCCTGGAGTTACAATAGGCATACCTCATTTCCTTCTATTTCATTTTATTGCACTTCACAGATACTGTTTTTTTAAAATAAATTGAAGGTTTGTGGCAATTGTGCACCAAGCAAGTCTACTGGTACCCCTTTTCCAACAATATTTGATTATTTTGTGTCTCTATGTAATTCTCACAATATTTCAAACTTCCTCATAACTATTATATTTGTCATGGTGATTTATGTTCAGTGATCTTTAATGTTACTATTGTAACTGTTTTGGGGAACCAAGATTATATAAGATGGTGAACTTAATAAATAAATGCATGTGCTGTCTGCTCCACCAACTGGCTGTTCCCATGTCTCTCTCCTCCCTATTGAGACAGGGACCATAAATGTAGTCAGGGTAGGGTGAGGGCCTCCGGAGGGGGCAGGGCGGGATATTTGCAGTCAGAGCAATGTAACTACATGCAAGGAAACCCCCCTACTAAAACTCTATGTTAAACCTTCAGCTCTAGAATCATTCTTCAGTGAGATCAGTTAATGTTCCCCAGATAAAGAAGAGTAGCACGTTTTATTATGCTAATCATTCGTAACCATGTGTAAGGTTCACCTTAGCATACTAAGAGGCCCAGGGCTGTGTGCTGTCTTTCCTCCTTCAGATCTGAGGAGGTGATTCTGCAAACTGAGCAACTAACTTAGCTGCAGACCCAGCTGTAGATGACATGGTAAAGGGCAGGAAGAATTCCATCTTAAAGATAAGATTGCATTTTAACACCCAGGAAGTTAAGACATTAGAAATTCTTGACTTACTCTTTAGCCAACAATACCTCAGCCCACCTTGGGGGTGCTGAGCAGGTGGCCTTGTTTCAATATGCCCCCTGATCAAGATGCTGGTATCTCAGGGAGAAATCATCAGAGGAAATTGCTTGTGTTAAGTTAATTATAAATATTCAGGGACCACTTAACAAGTCCACATTCCTAAGTTTTTTTCATGTTCTTGAAAAATCCTCAGCTGCCTAAAAAACCCCCTAGACAACGCACCACTAGGGCCTCTCTTGTTCCCTCCTGGCGTGAGCCGGGAGCGCTGTCCTTTCACTTGCTCTCTAAATAAAAAGCCTGTACCTCGCTCTCCTACCTGGACTGTTGGTGAAGCTCATTCTTTGGCTCCGCGAACCAGAACCCCGGCATCACTATTCCGAGACACACATCGAAATTAGGCCAACTAATAACCCTACAATGGCCTCTAAGTGTTCAAGTGAAAGGAAGAGGTACACATCTCTCACTTTAAATCAAAAGCTAGAAATAATTAAACTTAGTAAGGAAAGCATGTAAAAAGCTGAGACAGGCCAAAAGCTAGGCCACTGTGCCACAGTTAGCCAAGTTGTGAATGCAAAGGAAAAGTTCTTGAAGGAAATGAAAAGTGCCATTCCAGTGAACATACAAATGATAAGAGAGCAGAATAGCTTTATTACTGATACGGAGGAAGTTGCAGTGGCCTGGCTAGAAGATCAAATCGGCCATAAGATTCCCTTAAGCCAAAGACTAATCCAGAGCAAGGTCCTACCTAACACTCTTCAATTCCACCAAGGCTAAGAGAGGTGAGGAAGCTACAGAAATGTTTGAAGCTCCGAGAAGAGGCCAGTTCATGAGGCTGAGGGAAAAAGCTGTCTCCATAACAGAAAAGTACCAGGTAGAGCAGCAAGTGCTGACGTACAAGCTGCATCAAGTCATCCAGAATATCTAGTCAAGGTAACTCCTGAAGGTGGCTACATTCAATACTAGATTTTCAATGTAGATGGAACAACCTTATATTAGAAGAAGGTGCCATCTAGGACTTGCCTACCTAGAAAGGAGAAGTCAATGCCTGGCTTCAATGCTTCAAAGGACAGGCTGACTTTCCTGCTGGGAGCTGATACAGCTGGTGACCGTGAGTTGAAGTCAGAGCTCATTTAGCATTCTGAAAATCCTACGGCCCTTAAGAATTATGCTGAATCTACTCTTCCTCTGCTTTATAAATGAAACAACAAAGCCTGGATGGCAGCACATGTGTTTACAACATGGTTTACCGAGTATTTTAAGCCCACTGTTGAGACCTACTGCTCTGAATAAAAACTTTCTTTCAAAATATTACTGCTTATTGACAATGCAGCTGGCCACCCAAAAGCTCTGATGCTGACAGACAAATTAATGTTGTTTTCATGCCTGCTAACACAACATTCTGTAAGGAGTAATCTCAAATTTAAGTCATATTATTTAAGAAATACATTTTATAAGGTATAGCTGCCATAGACAGTGATTCCTCTGATGGATCTACTAAAAACCTTCTGGAAAAGATTCAGCATTCTAGGTGCTATTAAGAACATTCATGATTCATGGGAAGAGGTCAAAATATCAATATTCACAGCAGTTTGGAAGAATTAATTCCAGCCGTCATGGATGACTTGAGGGGTTCAAGGCTTCAATGGAAGTAGCTAGAGATGTGGTAGAATTATGAAGAGTACTAGATATAGAAATGGAGCCTAAAGATGCGATTGAATTGTTATAATCTCATGATAGAACTTTAATGGATAAGAAGTTACTTCTTTTAGATGAGCAAAGAAAGTGGCTTCTTGAGATGGAATCTATACCTGGCAAAGAATGCTGTGAAGACTGTTGAAACAGCAACATAGCAATTAGCATATTACAAAAACTTAAGTTGATAAAGTAGTGTCAGGGTTTGAGAGGATGGACCCCAGTTTTGAAAGTTCTACTCAGGGTGAAATGCTATCAAACAGCATCTCATGCTACAGAGAAATTGGTCATGAAAGCTAGAGTCAATTGACATGGCAAACTTCACTGTTGTCTTGTTTTAAGAAATTGCCACAGCCACCCCAACCTTCAGAAACCACCACCCTGATCAATCAGCAGCCATTAACATGGAGCCTCTACGAGCAAAAAAATCATGAGTCAATGAAATCTCAGATGAGGGTTAGCATTTTTTTTTACAATAAAGTATTTTTAAATTAAGGTATATACATTTTTTTAGACATAATGCTATTGCACACTTAATAGACTACAGTATAGTATAAACATAACTTTCATATATGCACCAGGAAACCAAAAAAATTCATTTAACTAACTTTATTGCAATATTCACTTTATTGCAGTGGTCTAGAACTGAACCTGCAATATCTCCAAGGTATGCCTGTACATATTTTCTTTCATGGAGACCATGCCAACTTGATAATACCTGCATAAAATTACTAATTTTGTTTTATGTAGTTACCAAGCTAGCTTACTTCAAATCTCAATAACCAATTATATTGCTCTGTTTTTCATGATTGATAATACGCATGCTTTAATATGTTAACATTTTGAGTACCAACCATATTACATACCTTTAAGCTTGTCACATCCTCTTCTACTATTTCTTCTAATTGATTTTCATAGAAAGGCCTAAATTTTTCTTCAATGCCTATAAAAAATAGTTTTTTAAATTTCTTAAGTATTTTCTAAAATAAAATTTAAATATTAGTAATCTATTATCTCTTAATTATTTACCTTAATCTATGGGCAAAGCAGTAAAATAAGAATTCAGCCATATGAAGAAAGCAAATCCTACCATTTGCAACAATATGGATGAAATTGGAAAGTATTACGCTCAGTGAAATAAGCCAGGCGGAGTAAAACAGTACCGCATGATTTCCCTCATTTGTGGAGTATAACAATGAAGCAAAACTGAAGAAACAAAACAGCAGCAGACTCACAGACTCCAAGAAGGGACTAGCGGTTACCAAAGGGAAAGGGGGTGGGGAAGGTGGGTGGAGATGGGGGGAGAAGGGGATTACAGGGTATTATGATTAGCGCACATAATGTAGGGGAGTCACGGGGAAGACAGTATAGCCCAGAGAAGACAAGTAGCGACTCTAGAGCATCTTACTACGCTGACGGGCACTGACTGCAATGGGGCGTGGGGGTGGACTTAATAATATGGGTGAATGTAATAACTGTAATGTTGCTCATGTGAAACCTTCATAAGACTATATCAATGATACCTTAATAAAAAAAATATGTACTACAAAAAAAAATCCCAAAAACATAAATTTGACAACTTAAATGATATAAAACAGAGTATCTGAATAGCCTTATAACTCTTAAGGAAATTGACTTTATAACTTACATACTTCTAAAAAAGAAATTTCCATACCCAGATGGTTTCATGGGAGAATTCTATTAAACTTTTATTGACCCTAACATCAAAACCAGACAAAGTTAATAAAAAGCAGAAAACTACAGACCAATATCCTCATGAATATACATGCAAAAAGTCTTAACACAGTATTAGCCAATGAAATGCAATAGTATATAAAAACAATTATACACCATGACCAAATGAGTTTTATTTCTGGAATGTGAGCCTGGTTCAGTATTCAAAATCAATTGATGTGATCCATCATATTAACAGATTCAGAAGAGAAGTCACATGACCATACAAACTGATACAGAAAAAACATTTAACAAAATTCAAAACCCATTCACAATAAATTTTCAGAAAAGTAGGAACAGATACTGTAAACTTCCTCAATTGACAAAGAGTATCTACCAAATACCTACAGCTAACATACTGCTTTGTGGTAAAAGTCTGAATGCTTTCCCTTAAGAAGGAGGACAAGGTAAGGATATCTGTTCTCACTGCTCTTATTCAAGATAATGCTGGAAATTCCAACCAGTACCATAGAGCAAGAAAAGGTAATAAAAGTGATACAGATCAGAAAGGAAGAAATAAAACTGTCCTTATTTAGAGGTGAAATTTAAAAAAAACACTCCAAATAAACTCCTAGGACTAATAAGTGAGTTCTACAATGTCACAGGATACAAAATTAACATTAAAAATATCAACTAAATTCTAGAGGTGAACAAATGGTCACCTAAATTAAAAATACAAACTACATATAATTGCTCAACAAAAGAGAGAAATACATATATAGGACTTTATGCTGAAAATTACACAACACCAATAATAGAAATCAAAGATCTAAATAAATGGAGAGGTATACTGTGTTCATAGATTAGAAGACTCAACATAGTAGATGTCTATTCTCTCCAAATGGATATATAGATTTAACACAATTCCTATCAAAATCCCAGTAAGATTTTTTTTTAGATATAGACAAGATTTTCTAAGTTTTATATGGAAAGACAAAGGAACTAAAGTTGCTAAAAGAATGTTAAAAAGGAAAAAAAAATGGTATTTTTCCAATGAGATAAAAATCAAATTAACTGGCAAGAAAGACAACTAAATATTTAGTTTTGTACTATTGTTCTTCTGTTAGTAATGATTTTCCTTTAAGATCAAAGAAAAAAAATGGACTTATTACAGACTTAAAGGTAAAACTGTAAGAATTTTAAAACAAAACACAGAAGTAAATCTTTGGGATCTAATCCTGACAGTCATCTTAGACTTCACACCAGAAGCACAATCCATAAAAGGAAAAAATTAACAAATTAGATTTCATCAAAACAAAAAACTTACACTCTGTGAAAGATCTTATGGGAATGTAAAAACAAGTTAAAGATTGGGAGAAAATATCTGCAAACTACATATCCGATGAAGGAATACTATGTAAAATACATAAATACTCAAAATTCAACAGATAAATACAGGCAATCCAATTGGAAAACAGGCAAAAGACATAAAGAACATTTCACCAGAGAAACCATACAGATGGTAAATAAGCACATGAAAAGACACTCAACATTATTAGCTATAAGAAAAACACAAATTAAAACCACAATGAGGTGTCACTACTTACCTGTCAGAATGGCTAAAATGAAAAGTAGCAATACCTAATTACTGGCAAGGATGCAGAGAAATGAGAAAGCCTTACAATCCTATATGCTGGTGGGAATACAAAATGGTATAGCCACTCTGGAAAACAGTGGCAAATTCTTTAAAAAAGAAAAAGAAAACTAAATATGAAACTAGCTATTTAACTTCTGGGCTTTTATTCCCGAAAAACACAGACTTATATTCACATAAAAACCTGTAACAAATATTTACAATAGCTTTAGTCCTAAGAGCCAAAACCAGGAACAAACCAGATTCCTTAAAGGAGTGAATAAACAACCTACAGTCCATCTATACCATGGAATACTACTCAGTAATAAAAGGGAAGACCATTAACACACACAACCGCCTGGATGAATCTCCAGAGAGCTGTGTCGGGTGGCAAAAAGCCAACCTAAAAGGTATTTTATAATTCCATTTATGTAACATTCATGAAATGACAAAACTATACAAATGGAGAAGAGATTAGTGGTTGCCAGAGGTAAAGGAAGGGGTCGGGCTGGGGAAGGAAGTGGGTGTAGCTGTAAGAGAGGAACACAGGTCACCGTGTGGTGATGGAGAGGCTCTGTATCTGACTGTATCAATGTCAGCGCCTCCGTTGTGACACAGTACTGTAGTATGGCCAGATGTTACCATTTGGGAAAACTAGGTAAAAGGTATATGGATGCCTCCGTGTTATTTCTTACAGTTGTATGTAAATCTACAATTATCTCAAAATAGGAATTTTAATTTAAAAAAATGTAAAATGCATGAGAGAAGAGAAGAAGCCAAGCCAGGAGAAGATTTAGGCTGACAAACTTGAGTAAGAAAACAGGCAACTAAATCAAAGTACCCCTCTAATCCTTTAGCAGTAGAGATAGGCAGAGCTTTATTTCTGTTTTCTCATAGCAGAAAAATGAAAGCAAAATGCTTTTCAGTTCCTAAGTGCCTTTCTACTATTTATTTTTCTTCACCTGATTTCCTTCTTAGCAAGAATCTAGGTGTTATAGGGGAATGGGAAGAGGTGGAGTGATGTGACAAACATCCATGTCCAGGCCCAATAAATGACAACAGACATTTCCAAAGACACCAGCTACACAAGAGAGGGAAAAAAAATATGTAAGAAGTCTAGAAACAAGAAAGCCAGTGGAAACAACCCATGTGTCCATCAACAGATGAATGGATAAACAAAATGTGGTACATACATACCATGGAATAAAAAGGAAGGAAATCCTGACACAGGCTACAACATGGATGAACCTCAAGGACACTATTTCTGCTCAGTGAAATAAGCCAGTCACAGAAGGCAAGTATTGGATGATTCCACTGACTTGAGGTCCCTGGAGTAGTCACATTCACAGAGACAGAAAGTAGAAGGGGGGATTCCAGAGGCTGGGGGAAGGGGATGGACAGTTAGTATTTAATGGGTCCATAGTGTCAGTTTGGGAAGATGAAAATGTTCCAGAGATGGATGGGGGTGATGGCTGCACAACACTGTACGTGTACTTAATGCCACAGCACCATACAATTAAAAAGGGTTAAGATGGTAAGTTATGTGTTATGGATATTTTAACACGATTTTTAAAGTTAACTATTAAAAAAAAAGGAACCAGAGAACCTTATGTGCCTTCATGCTTTGGGAGGAATGGCATCTTTTCATTGAACAAAATGTTTGAAATCTAAAGAAATCACAAATGGAACTCAGTTTTCTGAAAACTCAAAGCAACTTCCTGACAACATCTTATTAGGAAAAGCGCCTCACAGGTGATCACACACAATCATAAAAGACGCTCTTACCAGCAAACGTTGGCCGAACTTCTGGATTCGCCTCCCAGCATTGCTTCATCATGCTGATAATCTCCCCCGGGCAGTACTCAGTGATGTCGTCCACATCTGGCCTGTTCCCAGACTTAATGCAGATCATCAACTGCTGCTCACAGATGGCATCTATAAAGCAAAGAGGAGCTTAACTTGAGACATTGTTTCAGGTCCTGCTCCTCTCAGGCAGGGAGGTGGCAGAACTTGGACAATGCCACTAATCTCTCTCTGCCTCGGGAATGCTTTTGGTAAACTGCTTCATCTGGTAGGAGCAGAATCACTCTGTGGCAAGAAGCTGACATATTCTAGTGTTGAGATGATCAAACAATATTTTAATTTCTGCAGATGAAAGAGAGAATTCACAACAAAGCTGCCTCCCGGTAGAACAAATGAAACATGTGAATAAAGCCAATGGTATATTCCAGATTTTAACACAAAGACAACAAATATGGTACAGCTCTTGCCTTTAAAGAGCTCAATTTAAGAATGACTTAAAATAAAGTGATAATTGCTATTTAAAAAGTAAGTACAAGAAGTTCTGGTAACACAACAATGATTAGAAGGTCAGAGAAAGCTTTGTTGAGTCCACAAAAATTAGCAAGAATTAAGAAGGAGATTCCAGGCTAGGAAAGCAGTATATAAATAGATTGGAAGGTCCCAACATCATAATATATCCCAGAAATTATGCCTGGTTCAGTATAACTGGGCATATTGACTAAGCAAAGAATTAAGGAATAGAGAGAGGCTACAGAGAGATGCAGAAGCCAAACCAGAAAGGGCCTTGTATTCTCTTCTGAGGAATTTGAACTTTATCCTGAAGACTACAAGGAGTCTTGGAAGGATGCCACAGATGCTCATATTTGCCTTTTAAGATGGCCAGGTTGGGTGCAGTGTGCGTGGCAGGCTGCAGGAGGAGCCTGCAGCAGAAATACAGAAGGCGTGAACTAAACAGTGTCTGGTGGAGATAGAGAGATGCAGAGGGATTCAAGATGTATCTTGAGTCACAGATACGCCTTGAGTTCACAGGTTTTGATTTCTGATTGGAGATGAGGGGCGAGGTTAAGTCTGGGATAACTGAGGTTTTGGGCCAGGTGCTCTGGAAAGGTGGATGGTGATGTCATTTTCTGAACACAAGAATAGCAAAGCAACATAAGGAGCGCATGTGGAAAATGAGTGCATGTGGGGGGAATGTTGATTTGGGGCTCCTCTGATATATGTGATAGATCTAATAGACAAGTGGACATTCACACCAGGGTTGAAGATAAGAGGCCTGAGAGGCTTCAGCCAACAGGTGATCATTAAACCATGAAATCTGATACACAGCCAAGAAGAATAGATAAGAAAATGCCCGTTAATTTAGATGAGATGATCAAACAATATTTTAATTTCTGCAGATGAAAGAGAGAATTCACAACAAAGCTGCCTCCCGGTAGAACAAATGAAACATGTGAATAAAGCCAATGGTATATTCCAGATTTTAACACAAAGACAACAAATATGGTACAGCTCTTGCCTTTAAAGAGCTCAATTTAAGAATGACTTAAAATAAAGTGATAATTGCTATTTAAAAAGTAAGTACAAGAAGTTCTGGTAACACAACAATGATTAGAAGGTCAGAGAAAGCTTTGTTGAGTCCACAAAAATTAGCAAGAATTAAGAAGGAGATTCCAGGCTAGGAAAGCAGTATATAAATAGATTGGAAGGTCCCAACATCATAATATATCCCAGAAATTATGCCTGGTTCAGTATAACTGGGCATATTGACTAAGCAAAGAATTAAGGAATAGAGAGAGGCTACAGAGAGATGCAGAAGCCAAACCAGAAAGGGCCTTGTATTCTCTTCTGAGGAATTTGAACTTTATCCTGAAGACTACAAGGAGTCTTGGAAGGATGCCACAGATGCTCATATTTGCCTTTTAAGATGGCCAGGTTGGGTGCAGTGTGCGTGGCAGGCTGCAGGAGGAGCCTGCAGCAGAAATACAGAAGGCGTGAACTAAACAGTGTCTGGTGGAGATAGAGAGATGCAGAGGGATTCAAGATGTATCTTGAGTCACAGATACGCCTTGAGTTCACAGGTTTTGATTTCTGATTGGAGATGAGGGGCGAGGTTAAGTCTGGGATAACTGAGGTTTTGGGCCAGGTGCTCTGGAAAGGTGGATGGTGATGTCATTTTCTGAACACAAGAATAGCAAAGCAACATAAGGAGCGCATGTGGAAAATAAGTGCATGTGGGGGGAATGTTGATTTGGGGCTCCTCTGATATATGTGATAGATCTAATAGACAAGTGGACATTCACACCAGGGTTGAAGATAAGAGGCCTGAGAGGCTTCAGCCAACAGGTGATCATTAAACCATGAAATCTGATACACAGCCAAGAAGAATAGATAAGAAAATGCCCGTTAATTTAGGTACTTAACAAACTGAAGAATGACTATGTATGTATTTGTTCTCCTGCATGAACCATGTCTTTCTCATCTTTCTATTCTCAGTTCCAATTAAAGGGTCTACCATAAGTACTGAAAAGAAATAATTCTTGAATGAAGGAGTGAGTTAATGAATGAAAGTATGAAGTATATGCTCTGTAGTACAAAAGGGCAAGTCCTCAATCAGCAGAAGCAAGCTTTCCTGTCCAGGAAGAATCCTGGAATTTCAGAGCCCCTTCCAAGCTTTGATGCATTATCATGGCACCTATTTGTCCTGTGACCTCTGATTACTAATCTGAGATCACACCTTCATTCAACAAAAATTCACTACACACCTACTGTGTTCCAGGCACTGTGACTGTAGGTACTAGAGAAATAGTAGTGAATAAATCAGACATGGTCCCAGCCCTTGTGGAGCTTACAGTGCAGAGGGCAAGACAGACATTAAAGGAACAAACAATTATAAATTTTAACTGACTTCCATGAAGTCCATTATTTCATTTAATGATTTTGATTAATACCCAAATCCCACTCTCCCAAATGTCTTACTTTCATATGGCTCCTTATTTGCAAAAATTGCCCAAAGTACTATGGCAAAGCTGTACACATCTGATTTCTCTGAGGGCTTTGCATTGACATCATTCAGATGCTCGGGGGCCATGTAATGGAGGGTGCAGCCATTCTCCTTAAAGGTACTGTTGATTTTCCTCTGCTCATTGTGTTCCTCCTTGGTCAATTTATTCCACGTCTTAAAGGAAGTAACGCCAAGATCAGCTATCTGCAAGAGACCAGACCAATGGGATTGTTCTGTGAAGGCTACAAGCTAATCAGATTTGTCTTTACATCTGGGGCTTATCCAATAGACGTGAGACACAGTGAATTTTCCAGAAATGGTTGCACTAGGTAAGTTTAAAACAGAATCACAGAAACTTTGTGTTTCCTAAGCCATTTGAAATATCTCCCCTAAGAAATGTCTATTTGAAATTCTGGGATCGTAGTTCTTATGCAATAAAACCAAGGGATTTTCTGTTGGAAGTAAGGGGTGGGGAGTGGAGAGGAAAAGCAGAAGACATTTCTGACATAAACAACAACAGGACATATTTATCCTAATTCCTCACTTACTCTGCATATATTCTTCAACCATTCCTAGAGCTAGGGGGAAAAAAGTTATTTTCTTCTCAAATTTGTGTAGCAGACAGTGACGAGATACTGCACCTTCTATTTTCCCAAATGGTATCCAGAAGCCCATGGATGTGAGTTTCCAGGATTCCAAAGACATACTGAGGATAAGGACTGTAGTCTAGTTGTTTTGAGTTGCTAGCCTGAACCTAAGAGAAAATGGGATAGGAAGGAGGGGAAAAATAGACAAGAAAGCAGAGAGAAAAATACCAAGGTCAGACACAAAACAAAGAGGGAGGTGGCTGGGTAAAATGACAGAATAGGACAGTTACGAAATCAAAGGCAACAGTTTCACTTTTGCCCCTAGGATTCCATGCATTTGGGGGTGAATTCTGGCAAGTGATTATCTAAAATTCAGAGATTCCAGAACAGAAGAGATAAGTTATTAATGTGAAGAAGGAAACTTCCTTTAAAGACATAGGAATAAACATCCATCCAAGAGTAGAACAAAGTATCAGAAGCAAAATGTTCTAATAGAGAGAAGCCTGGGTAAGCAGTTCATACAGATCTTCCTCGATTTACAATGGGGATTATGTCCCAATAATCTCATTGTAAACTGAAAATATCTTAAATTAAAAATGCATTTAATACACTCAACCCACTGAAAAATCATACCTTAACTTAAATGTGCTCAGTACTCTTACATTTGCTTACAGTTGGGCAAAATCATCTTATACAAAGCCTATTTTATAATAAAGTGTTAAGTATCTCATGTAACTGATGGAATACTATATTAAAAGTGAAAAACAGCATGGTTGTCTGGGTACAGAATGGCTGTCAGTGTACTGGTTGTTTATGCTCTTGATCATGCGGCAGATGAGGGGGCTGTGGCTCACATCCCTGCCCCATATCACGAGAAATAATGACATCCCTAGCCCGGGAAAAGTTCAAAATTCAACATTTGAGGCACAGTTTCTACTGAATGTTTATCACTTCCACACCACTGTAAAGCCAAACCACCGTAACTCAGGGACACTTTACCATGTTTCCTTCTATCATGCTCTGCACCACTGCCCTCCTTTTAAGAAAGACTTCATCCCAGGTGCTAAAGTATTAATGTTGTGTTTTGTCAGTGTAAAAATAAGACTTCTATGCCAATACGATAATATATAAAAATGCTATAAAATTAAGCAACTTGAGAACAAAACTATATAATTACCTCCATCATCATCATCATTTAGGATGTATACTTACTACCTAGCATGATGCCTGGAATGTTTGTTGAATGAATGTATAAATAAATATACAAAAAAATCCCATAAATATTCTCTATGGTATACTAATGATGTGCCACTATAAATTTAACATGTGAATAATGTCTTGGAAATGTGTGTATAAAAAATATTAAGAGAAAAAAGAATACAAGGGAATATACTCACATTGATTACAGACACATAAAGATTAAACTATGAGATAATATGATATTGTTAAAATGTTGAAGTGAGTTTAATATTTATTTTGTAATTTGGTATCAGATACTTTAGGTCTTTGTAGATTCTTGGGTCACTCTTACAACTGTATTCTACTTGTATGAACATCAATGTTAATAGAGACACAGCTTCTATTAGATTAAACATTAGTTTCGCTTAACATCGAAAGACAAAAACTTTCACTGTGTGTGTGTGTGTGTGTGTGTGTGTGTGTGTGTGTGTGTGTGTACGTGTGTGCAGTCACAAGTTTACAAACAGGCTATTTTCCAAAAATTTATGTGTATGTTAGTTGTTGATAAACAGGAAAAAAATTTAAATGATGGAAATTAGATTCCCAAGTCAGCCCCCAAACCACATTTAACTCATGATGTAGCTGATCTGAAGCATTATTAGTCTGGTTACCACCATACAAAACACAGCTGGAGGTTTTCCCTCCTTCCTTGGTATAACTTTGGACATAAACAACTAAATAGATCCCCTTCTCATCCCTCTTTCTGCTTCTCTTCCTTACATCCTCCTGAATCTCTTCTTAAACCCAACTTGTGCACCTCAGTGTTGCCTGATCCGGCAGAAGGCCTCTCGTCCCAAATGATTACTCTCCCAATCAAAATGCCTACTTAACTCCATGCAGCTGATCCGATTGAGTTTGGGGGAGAAGAACAATCTGACCAAATTACAATACCATATGTATCAGTGATTATCTTTATCCTCCATACAGATATTTGTGAGAGATGTCTGTGACTTAGAAGAATTGAAGAATTGACATAGTTTTGGGCAGGTGCTGGGTAGGGGAGAAGATAGGAAAAGGGGGGCTATTTGCCATAAAGATTGTCATACGCCATCACCCCCACATGCAATCTATGCTTGGCAAGCCCGGTTATTTGCAGTTTTCCAAATCCAGCATACCCTCATCCCTTTGCACATGCCCTTCTCTCTGCCTGCAACACTTTCCTTCACCCTCCTTCAGGAATCCCTTCCTGCCACCCCATGCTGGGGTGAGTGCCTCTGCTCTGTGTTCCCACTGCACACTACAAGGATGGCTATCAACACACCATCCCATCGGGCTGTCCTTTTACTTACCTGTCTGTGGATAAAATGAAGGTTACTGTGGCCAGGATTCTCACCTGGCCCTGGTTGGCTGGCTCACTACACACGTGTGGGCAATACGTTGTTACTGACTCTATTATATAAAGAGCCCTGCCCAGTGCTCTGGGTGACCTGGTGCACAGCTAGCTGCAAGGCTGCAGGAGAGCAGAAGCTGCAGTGGTGGCAGCACCAAGGACAGAGACTGGGACGGCTGTGCAGGGAGAGAGGCCCAGAGGACGGCTGTGCTGGCAGAGGGGCCCAGAGGCAGAGCCCGGCTTGCTGCATGCTGACTCTCTCTGAGTGGATGGGATCTTAGTGACTGACCTGCCACCCTGGTAATATAGTTGGTATGACCCTTTCACCCCAAGAACGTTCTACTGTCACTTCTTTAGTCACATCCATAGTGAACTTGCCCAGGGCTGAAACCCACTGGCAAGACACTGTGACCTTCTCTTGTCTGTGTCTTATTTGCTATGGCTTCCAGAGCAACTAGCACCTGGGCCTTGCTCCTCATAGGTACAGAAAACTTAAAAATGCTTTCAAGTTATTTGGTTTTGGTAGACAATTTTTATTTTCCTTTTTTAAGTCTTACTTATCCAGTGGTATTGCCTCTAATGTTCTATAACCTTTTAAGTTTCTTAAGTGGTATCAATATGCAATTAAGATTCCATCTTCCCATATATTTATAGTGCATATCCTGTAATCAATCATTAATTGCTACCCATCATGCACATAATTTTCACTAACCAGCCTCAGTTTCCTTTATGAACACAGTGTCTAACTGAGTTGTGGATCTCAGAGTGGCTGACAAAAGCCGATTATAATACTAAGACAGGGAGGAGACCATCCAAGTAAGGGATAAGGGCAGCTATCTACAGGGACTAAGGGGCTAGACTGCCTTCTGGGCAGGAAAGTCAAATAAGATTTAATGAGGGATTGACTTCAGAATGTCCAAAATACCTAGCAATCCACAAAGGGATTGGTTACTTTACACCAACAACCAAAGAACACCAGGACACCCTAACAGACAACCAGTGCCCACATGCTGTGCCTGGAAAGCACACAGCAGTGCCCCCTACCTCGGCTCCCAGCACTTGCATCAGGTTGCCCTTTTCCATGTACTCCATCACCAGACAGTAGTTTCCTTCTTCTAGGATGAAGCCCAGGAGCTTCACCACCCGACTGTGTCTTAGCCTGTGCATCATCTTGCCCTCCTCCAGGAGGGATTCATTGTACCTGTGGGAGGGAACAGTGCAGTTCATATGAGCAGTTAGCCCCTTTCCCTTGTGCCAGCAAGAAACACAGTATATCCCTTCACTGCATCCCATCCCACGTGCTTCAGTCATTTATGTGTGCACATACCCATCTCTCCTAGGCACAGACTACAGGCTTTAAAAGGCAGAGTAGTTTCTCATTCATCTTTATGTTCCTTGGCCCCAGTGACCAGCAGTGAGTCTCAAGAAATATTTAATTAATTAATTAATTGATTAATTAAGAGTAGCAACAAGACACAGCCTGAAAAAAGGATATTGGATAATACAATAAAAACTGCAGCTTCTCTCTGCAACCACTCTGGCAAAAAGACAGAGAAATAAAACAACTCCACTAATTGCTATAAAGAGAAGTTTCCTGGAACCTCTAATTAATGAGCCACTGTTTTCTAGGTTTTTTCCTTCATATTAGGGCTGGTCCTCACCAAAAATGTGAAGGAAGTGAGTCAGTCTATCTTCACAAATCCCTTCCATTTTCTTTCCATTGACTGCCTCAAATAACCACCTTGCAGGGTTATCGGACATGCAGCTGTACGCTGACACACCACAGTCTGTCTCATTCTAAAGCCTGTGCCACACGGTCGACTGGCCTGCCCTCTTCCTCCACAAACACTGCTTCCTAAGGCCAGCCTGGAATTTGGTCGCCTGCCTCTGCTCCCAACTCACTCGTTGCGCTTGGGCCCGGTGTACACCTTTCTCAGGATCACGAGCCCATGGGATCTGTGTAAGCACAGAGACACTTTTCCGAAGCCCCCGCTGTCGAGGTGCTGCTTCTCCAGGAAATCACCAGATTTCATCTTAACGTCATCCAAAGACATGTCCGCTTTCCTTCTGAATGCTCAGAATGCCCCAAAATACACCACTTTCCCCAACTCAGAGCTGCACACTGTAAAGAAAAATAAGAGAACATCTCAGTGCAAAAAAAAGCCATTATTCAAAAAACTTATGTAAAGTTCTATCACATGCTTGGCAGTGCCTTTATTTTTTGAAGATAGATACAGTCTCTAAAATGACTTGTTTTTCATACTTCCAAGACTCACAGAAGACCACAAATTTTATCCCTTATATTTTTTTTTTGTGACAACATGGAAGATGAGAAAATTCTAAAAACACTCCGAAGGACATATATGTATGTGATAACATAACACCAACATCCATTCAAATGCACAGCCAGGCTCAGCAGAAAGGAAAGTAACACAAGGGACAGACACTGGGAGGGGTTGTGGCCCACATAGTGGCAGCTAGGACTGAGTTTCTATCCCCTCCAGACTCATATGTTGAAGCCCTAACTCCAACTGATGGTATGAGGAAGAAGGGGCCAACCACCTGAGAGGTAATAAGCTTATGAAGATAGAGTCACAGATGAGACTGGTGTCCTTATAAAACACAGGAGCGAGCTTGCCTTCACTTCCTCTCTCTCTCTCTCTCTCTCTCTCTTTCTGTCTCCAACATGAAGGAACAATGAGAGGACACCCATCTGAACACCAGGAAGCAGGTTCTTACCAGATACTGGATTGCCCGGCTTCTTGACCTTGGACTCCCAGCCTCTCTTAACATCGCACCGCTCAATGTGCTATTCCTACCCCTCAATGTAAGGGTGGACCAGAATAAAAGCAGTCCATTAGCAAAGGAACTTAGTGGCCTTACACCAGACATGAGGCATAAAAGAAGTCTCCGTGTGAATTCATAACCTTGGGCCTGTTTTCGGATAGATTTGGGCTTTGAATTTATATTCCTCTTATGGCTAGGAGTCTAAGAACTTCTATATAGAAAGTGGACACATGCTGATACCATCTGTGGATTATAAGGTTAAAGCCAATGAAATACCCTGAAGCCAGGATCCCCGGACAGGATTCCCACAAAGAAGCCTAACTTAACATGCGCTACCTTTCCCAAATTATAAACCCAAACGAAAAAGTTCACCACGAGCCAGACCCAGCACATAGAACAAGCAGCCGTATCAGGCACCAAAGAACTTCAGGTAAGGAACTATTGACTACTCTTAGAAAATAAACAGGTTTCAAGTAATTTTTAACAAAAGAAGAAATTTAAGGAAAATAAGAAGAACAATGCCCTATCTAAAAAGAATTGTAAGATGTGAAAAGGATGATAATTTGGCAAATTTGTCCATTGGTGCCCCGCCGTATACAATGTTGGCACTCTCAACACAGAACTGTTTGCTTCAGCCTTCTTCCCTTCCATTTATTTTCCCTAAACTGAAATGAAGAAAAAAAATCCATTGAGATATCACTACATACCCACCAGAATATCCAAAATTAAAAAGGCTGACACCACCAAATAGTGGTAAAGATATGAAGCAACCAGAATTCTCACACACTGTTGGTGGGAGTGTAACGCTGCACAGCTTTGAGGTACGGTCTATCCATTTCTTTTTCTCCCCATTTTTTTATTGAAGCATCATTGATATACAATCTTACATTAGTTTCAAACACATAACACAGTGGTTCAACAGTTACCCATATTATTAAATCCTCACTCCCACTACTACGGTTACTATCTGTCAACATAGGAAGATGTTACAGATTCATGGGCTATATTCTCTATTCTGTACTACCATCCCCGAGACCAATGCATATTATGATTGAGAATTTTTGTGCCCCTTTATCCCCCTCACCCTCGCTGCCCATCCACCCCAACCCTTCCCCGATGGTAACCACCAGTCACTTCTTAGTGTCTGTGAGTCTACTGCTATTTTGTTCTTTCTGTCTTGTTTCATTTTTATATTCCACAAATAAGTGAAATCATATATTCCACAAATAAGTGAAATCATTCAGTATTTGTCTTTCTGCCTGCCTTATTTCACTGAGTATAAACCCTCCAGCTTTGCTCTTCTCAGGATTGCTTTGGCTATTTGGGATCTGTGGTGGTTCCATATGAATTTTAGGATTATTTGTTCTAGTTCATTACTAAATGCTGCTGGTATTTTGATAGGGATTGCGTTGAATCTGTACATTGCTTTGGGTAGGATGGTGATTCTGACATGAGTATGGGATAGATTTCCATTTATTATGTCTTTTTTAATTTCTCTCATGAGTGTCTTACAGTTTTCAGAGTACACGTTTCACCTCCTTGGTTAGGTTTATTCGTAGGTATTTTATTCTTTTTAATGCAATTGTAAATATAACTGTTTTCCTGATTTCTCTTTCTGCTTGTTCATTGTTAGTATATAGGAAAACAATTTCTGTGTATTAATTTTGTATCCTGAAACTTTGCTGAATCCAGTTATTAGTTCTAACAGTTTTTTGAAGACTTTAGGGCTTTCTGTGTACATGGAGTTATCGCACAGCTCTTACCATTCTTTCATTCCTAGAGATTCTTTTTTTATTTTTCAGCTTCACTGTATTCCTTTTCTCTAATTTCCACCTCACTGTCTCCTCTACTTGCAGCGATCTATTATTCATTCCCTACATTGTATACTTCACTTCAGTTACTGTATTCTTTAGCTCATTGTTCCTCTCCATGAAAATCTTTAATAAAAAGTGAAAGATGTATATTACCTGAAGAGAAACCAGAGTATGTTGGCAGTTTCTTGTAACACTAAACACATCGACACTATGATCAAGCAGTTCTAATCGCAAGAAAAATGAAAACATATGTCCCAAAAAACTTCCACAATGTTCATGGCAGTTTTACTCACGGTAGCCCAAAACTGGAAGCACTTGTTCATCAACAGGAGAATGGGTCAATAAAACAAAACCTGTAGTATATTCATACAATGGAATACTACTCAGTAATAAAAAGCAATGAACTACTAATACCCACAACAAGGTGGATGAGTCACAACATGCTGAGTAAACGAAGCTTTATACAAAAGAATCCATACTGTATAATTCCATTTGTATGAGTTTCTAGGACAGTCAAAAAGGAACTGGTTGCTCAGAGTGAGGGTGAGGATTGAGTGAGGTGGGGTATGAGAGAACTTTCTGGTGTCATGGTATTATTCTATTTCTGGTGTCATTAATTATTCTAGTCAAAACTCAGCAAATGTACTCTTAAGAACTGCTGGTAAATTTTACATCAAGAGAAAAATCTGTAAACATACTGAACTGTAGTTAATGGTATGCATGCTGAAATATTTAGGAGGTGGTGTCCTGACATCTGCAGTTTACTTTGCCAATAGATAGACTGGTGGACAGAGATAGTAGATGGATAGTTTTCTGATAAAACAGAGTTAAAATGATATAGATGGTGGATACATGAGAGCTCACTGTAATATCTTAGTGTTTCTACATTATTATTTTTATTAGTTTTTTTTCCCATATACCCCCTCACCCAGTTACTCTTAACAGTATATCTGTCAAAACTAAGAAACCAACATTGGTATATTACTATTACCTGAACTCCCCACTTTATTCTGATTTCACCAGTTTTTCTACAAATGTCCTTTTTCTTTCCCAGCATACCATACTGCCATTTTGTACCTCTTGATTTTATTATTATTACTCTTTTAACCTTTGACTACATTCATCCATTTCTCCCACCCACCAACCTCAGGCAACCACCAATCTGCTTTTCTGTGAGTTTGGCTTTTTTTTAAGATTCCACATATAAGAAAGACCTTACAGTATTTGTCTTCACCTGTCTTAAAAGCATAATGCCCTCAAGGGCCATCCATAGTGTCACAAATGGCAAGATATCATTCTTTATTCTGGCTGAATACTATTCCATTTTGTACATATTTTCTTTATCCATTCATCTATCAATGGATACTTAGGTTGTTTTCATATCTTGGCTATTGTAAATAATGCTACAATGAACATGGGGGTGCAGATACCTTTTCAGGTTAGTGTTTTTGCTTTCTTCGGATAAATACCCTAAAGTGGACTTGGTAGATCACATGGTAGTTCTAATTTTAATTTTTTGAGGAAACTCCATATTGCTATTTACACTGGCTGCACCAATTTACATTCCCAATAACTGTGCACAAGTGTTCCCTATGCTCCATATCTTTGCTGACATGTTATGTCTTGTCTTTTTGATAACAGATGTGAGATGGTATCTGTGGTTTTGATTTGCATTTCCCTGATGATAACGTTGAGCATCTTTTCACGTACCTGTTGGTCATCTGTATGTCTTCTAAAGGTAAAAGTCTGTTCAGATCTTCTGCCCCCTTTTTTTAACTCCGATTTTTTATTGTTGTTGCTGTTACTGAGTTGTATGAGTTCTTCATATATTTTGGATATTAACCCCTCATCAGTTATATGATTTGCAAATATTTTGTCCCATTCAGTAAGTTACCATTTTATTTTGATGGTTTCCTTTGCTGTGGATAAGCTTGTTAGTTTGATGTAGTCCCACTTACTTACTTTCACTTTGTTGCTTTTACCTTTGGTGTCAGATTTAAAAAATCATCACCAAGACCTATGTCAAGGAACTGCCTATGTTTTCTTCTAGGAGTTATATGTGTTCAGGTCTTATGTTCATCTTTAATCTATTTGAATTAATTTTTATGTATGGTGTAAAACAGTGACCTAGTTTCATTCTTTTGCATGTGGCTGTCCAATTTTTCCAATACCATTTGTTGAAAAAACTGTCCTTTCTTCATTGTATATTCTTAGCTCCTTTGTTGTAAATTAACTGACCATAGATGTGTGGGTTTGACAAGTCCACTGGAATTCCGATAGGGACTGCATTAAAACTGGAGATTGGTTTGGTGGTATGGACAGTATTAACAATATTGGGGAGTATTAACTACATTAATTCCTCTAATCCATGAGCACAGAATATCTTTCCATATGTGTGTTCTTCAAATTTATTCATCAATGTCTTATAGTATTTAGTGTCTCATAGCACTCAGTATTGCATCTTCTTGGTTAAATTTATTCCTAGATATTTTACTTTTCTGATACAATTGTAAATAGATTGATAGATTGTTTTCTTAATTTCTCTGATAATTTATTAGTGTATAGAAATGCAATCGATTTTTGTGTATTGATTTTAACACTACTGAATTCATTGATTAGTTCTAATGGTTTTTTGATGGACTCTTAGGGTTTTCTATATTTAATGTCATGTCTTCTGCAAACAGTGACAGTTTTACTTCTTCATTTCTGATTTGAATGCACACTACTTTTATTTCTTGCTAGTTGTTCTAGCTAGGACTTCCAATGCTATGCTGAATAGAAGTGGTGAGACTGGGCATCCTTGTCGTCCTCCTTATCTTAAAGGAAAAGCTTTCAACTTTTCACCTTTGAGTATGATCTCGGCTGTGGGTATACAATCTTTTAACTTTGCACTTTGAACTTTTTCATAATAAATGTTGGTGGTCAGTTAAAAAAAAAAGAAAGCACCTAGAGGGGTTTCTGAAAATGCCATGCCTGGTGGTAGTCTTGTACAGTGGCCTGCTGCAGTCTGGATCAGGTAACCAACCGTCTGTAGCTTCTACACACGCTGCGGGCAGACCACGCCACCCTGATGAAGCTCACATACCAACACAGATGACCCTGTGGACCACCTTCCTTTACCATGAGTCATTACCAAATGAGAGGAAGTACCCTCTGGGAACAAGCACGTCTGTGTGGCGTCTGTGAGGGAGGCCACTTGAAGGAAAGCATGAAGATAGAGGGAACCGGGATGAGACAGGCATGGAAGGCGAAGATGAAGGAGCCTTAATGGCAGTGGAAAGGGCACAGACATTTCTCTTATGAGTATGAACTCTAGCTCTGTAATTCATAAGCCCTGTGACTTGGGTAACCTACGTAACCCTCAACTTCCTCATTTGTGTAAGGAAATAATAATGACTGCCTCACAGGACTGGTAAGGACTATATGAGAAAACACACACTGCCTGCTTTGCGGTTCTAGCCATGGTTGGCCCAGCCATCCACATTTATCCAAAATCTGGTTTCACTGGATTTTGAGAATGGCAACATGCAGCAGGGATCACTCTTCTAAGCAGCCTCTACTGACCAATCCTTTTAAGACGGGCACAGGGAAGATATGACAGAAAATGACAGGGCATGCTCTCTTGCAACCGCTTAGGGCCCATCCTTCCCCTGTCTAGAAGCTGCTTATCCAACAGGTCTCAGTGAAATCTCATTTCCTCAGGGAAGCCATCTTATGTCTTCCCATTAGACATTTTTACAGCACCCTGTACTTCTCCCTCAAAATAGTTAATACAGCTGTAATTTGAGATTTATTTCTAATTAAGATCACAGAAGGCAGAAAACTGCCTATCTTGCACACTGTCTACAGTGCCTAGCACAGAAACTGACTTATGGTAGGTGATCACTACATGGATAATTATTATTTTTAAATAATTATTTAATTGTCCAGAAATAAAGAATACAGTTAAATGAATATTAGCACATTCGTAAGATGGAATATCATATAGCCATTGAAAATTACTACCTGTAAAAATTAAAAACACATATACAGACAGATGGCTAAATGCACATATAGAATTGTATACAAAAAAAGGTGTAATGAAATGTTAGCAAGGATTATATCTGAATGGTAAGGTGGTTTTTACTTTCTTCTTTATATTTTTATTACATTTACCAAATTTCCTACAATAAACATGAATTACATTTACAATAAAATTTATTTTTTATAGGGAATAATTACTTCACTTAGTAACTCTTTATTCTGAGGAATAACATCAGAGATGCTGATATAGATTATGTATAAGGATGTCGCTAGCAATATTACAGAAAACAGTGAAAGCATATAAAGCAATTTACATATACAGGAGAAAGAATAAATGATGGCCCCATCCAAACTCTGAAATCTATCTAGCGGTTTCAAAAATGCTGTTGTATTTATTAACTTTTCTTTTAAAGGCTCACAGACAGAGTAAAGAAACAGGAAGGAATTATAACCATGCCCTGTAGTATGTCCATTTGGCATACTACTTCAGCTTTTTGAGGAGTTCTATATGTCTCTCTCCTTCAGCCCAGATTCAGCCCTACACAAGCAGCTGGGGTTTACAGTGCATCCTGCAGGCATGAAAGAGCTCAGGGAAAGAAGGCCCACTGGTGGTTCTGTGGCACTTCGTGGGCCTGGCTCCTGACCCAAATTAGTTCTCCTCACTGGCTTGCAGTTTGCTGGTTCAGTCTGATTTTACTTAATCTTATGCACCTTTTGCATGGTTAGCCATCATTTCTTTTGTTTTTACTGTTTTTTTCTCCCCTATTTTCCCCAGGAATAAATCAACTTTATAAGCACTGAAGATTTTAGGAAGACCCTGTGAGTAGTTTAGACAGCCAAGAGCCACAAACACACTGAATGTAAGCAGGTAAAAAACTATTATAAGAACATGTTACAGAGTAACTAATGAAGGCACATTGCCTGTTATATCATCTTAAGAGAACTCATTTTAACTACTAACATATTTGTGTCCATTTTAATGTGATTTCTTCATGTTTTTGCATAAACGGATGTTAATTCAGGGACACACACAGAAGCAAATTTTTTTCCACTGAAATTAACTGACAAGTCTAAGAAATTTCACAAATTACCCTGTAAAGAAGGGCATATATATCAAAATAGTCATATCTATATTTAATTTTGTTTCTCAGTTATACCTCAATAAAACTGGGGAAAAGTGCAAATAAATAATAATGCCAAAAAAGCCTGGCAGGATTAACTTACAATATTAACAGGACAGTGGTTACAAGGTGTAAGACAGGAGGCAGTGAATGAGAGGAGGCACAGGGGTTTTAGGAGCCATAGCAATGTTCTATTTTTTAACCCGAGTAATATTTATACTTTGTGATACTTCATAGAGCTATACAGTTATGATTTGTGCACTTTTCTGTATAAGGTATATTTCAATAAAGAAGTTTTTAAAAATCCTTTAAAATATTCATCTTTACCTTTAAGTAGTAGAGGACTATTTTTTCAAAATTTAAATGATTACATATAATGAGTCTGACAGAAAATGTTGGTACCCTCCCTATCACTGTCCCCCTCTTCCCCTGCTACTGCTCTGATTTTACTCAGGTATCCAACACAGACTTCTGTAAGGTTCTTTGATTTTGACAGCCCCAGATAAACCAGAGCTCTAATCAAGTAAGAACCAAATGATGAGCAAGAGACAAGACTGGAAAGTTTAACCCAGCATTATCATGTACATTAGCACATTATGACCCTGTTAAGTATATTTTATTCTCATCATTCCAAAGTACAAAAAAAACTAAAATCTGAAGTTAAATTATTCCCTTAAAGTGGCAGATTCTGGCCCTGAAACTGTCTCTTCACTTAAACTCCGATGCTCAATTCACTAACACATGATACTTATCCAGACAGCAAACAATAATCTGTCTTTATTAAAATCATAAGACAATAACAGCCTTGCTCACCTTTATTAAATTAATATGCTAACATCAGAAACATGCGCATGTACAGACTAAATTTTAAAAATGTGAATACATGGTTCAGAATCAATATTCTACAGGTTAATACATCCAATCATTCTTGCCAGAGTATAATATCTAACCAAAGCACAGAAATAAGCTATATTTCTTTCAAATTTCTGATCACATTGATGGTATTAACATGTTGTGGATTAATAAGCACCAAATACGAGTTTGCCATTTTGGAAGATGGTATGTTAGAAATTTTTCTTAATTTTTACTAATATTCACAATCCTGAAAGTACAACATATCTCTGGTGCTCAATATAGTGCAAATAGAGGAAAATGAAAATTAATCGTTACAGTTGTTTCATCAGTAATAACAATGATAGTGATACACCCCAAATTTTACTTTAAAAAAGCTTAGTCTCCACTTTTTTGTGTTTATTAAGGCCAAAGTTTTCCACATTTCTAATGACCACAATTTCCTCCTTACTCTTGCACCTACCCAGGGGTTACAATATGCAGATAAAGTACTAACTTACTCTACATTCTAAAATTCACTCGTACCTTCAAGCGATTTCTTCACGTGTAAATCAGAGGAGAAAAGTGGTCTAAAAACCAAAGGACTTGTACGAAGTTGTTTGAATCTAACAGCTTCAGGCTTTGTCCAAGCTAAACAGGAGATTCATTCAAGCAAGGAAGAGCCAAATGATCGCAAGACGCAAAGAAAAGAACTCTACCCCCTTCCCTGTGGGCTTCTGTCAAATGCTCAGGAAAGGAGCATGTAGCTTATCCTCTTCAAAGGGTAAGAGATTCTGTAGCAATTCATAAAAGCAAACGCCACGGATCACCGAAGAGGCATCCTAGGGTTATGACATTCGTCTCTTTTTATCGCTTTGGCTGTTGACCCTTCTCTCCCATTTGCTAGCTTGCTTCTCAGATAAGGCAGAAATCTTTTGACTGTCTTTACAATTCGCTGCGGCCCCAAGTGCAACAGTGAAAGTCCTTTCAAAGAGTTGGTAAGAAGGCCCCAGCCAGGGGCCTCTACTAACCCTATTACGACAAGCGCTGCACCACTGTAGCTGAATGATAACGCAATAAAACCCATTATTTCTTCGAAAAAAACGAAGACAACACTCCTCAAGGGTCGGTTCCAACGTCATGCCTTTACCTTTACCATGCCGTTATCTTGGCCCGAGGGCAGGCGTCAGTCTGAACAGATTTACACCCAGACTTCCAGGAAGGAGCTCTGCCCTGTGCACCTCTCACCGCCAGCCAGCTGCCCGACCTGCAGGAACACCGAGGCCCCGCCCACAACCGTGAGGCCCACTCACAGCTTTAGTTCCTGAAACGCAAGGCACCGCCCACCACCCAGAGGGCCACTCACAGCCTACCTCCAGAAGGCCTTCTCCCGCCTCCAACACAACACAACACAACACAATACCACCCACCCCACCCCCCACCACACACACGGAAGCTGGTGGCTGCGAGCCTGGAAGCAGCAACCACTGGCTCCGCGCAGACGCACTCCACCTAATTCACTTTCGTTTTTGCGGCAAACCTCCGGAGGCCCAGGTAAGGAAAAAGGCAGCCGGGCAGGAGTCAGGAGTTGCTCCGACGCTCCGGCAGGGTCGCCGGGGAGCGCTGGGGCGAACGCGCTAGCCCGATATGGGGCTCACCGGGCCGCTGCGGGGCTGCCCCGCTCCGCGCTCACCGCGCCCTGCTCCGCTGGTCCTGCGTCCGTAAGCGTCCTGCCGCGGTGTCGCGTCCCCTCACCGCCCGACAGCGCCCTCGGGCACTTCAGATGTGCCGCCGCCCCGCTCGGGAAGCCAGGTCCGGTGTCCGCGCCGTCTGCGCAGTGCAGTGAGCGGTCGCGGGCGTGGCCCGCTCGCCCCGGCTCCGCCCCGCGGCCTGGGAGGAGTGCGGCAGTTCCCGCCCGCCGCCGAAAGTGCTGAGCGCAGTTAAGTACCGGAGCCTGTCCGACAACGGATCGCGGCTTCACCCTGCTGTAAAGCCATTTGGGAGGCCCGAAGAAATGAGGAAATGCCACTTAGTCATAGCAACTTACGCTGCGGGCAGAGGCAGCTTGGAACAGCGAAAAGCACTGGATGGATTACCTGACGAAATTCTGAGCTCTGCCAGCTGGCAGCGCTAGAACCTAAGGCAGCTTAGCATTTTCGTAGCTTTCTTTACATGTAAAGTGGATATAATAAAAAATCTCTGTAGGGCTTTACAGGAAGAAGTGTGGTATTTATTTTGCACCCTTTTAAAGTGGTAATTGGGAAGCTTCAGGCAAAATGGGCAATACTTGCTATAGTGCTATATTAAAAAGCAAATTATACACAGCAGGATTGCATATTATAAAAATATACATATGACAAGAGAAAGGACTGTTAATCAAAATATACTAGAAACTCAACAATAAGAAAAGCAACAACCAAGCGAGAAAATGGGCAAAAGATATGAATAGACACCTCATCATACAAATGGCAAATAAGCATAGGAAATGATGCTCAACATTATAGGTCATTGGGGAACTGTAAATTTGAAACAATGAGTTACCATTACATATTAGAATGGTTAAAATCGAAAACACAATACCAAATGATAAGCATGTGGAGCACAGGAATTCTCACTCGTTGTTGCAAATGCAAATTGGTACAGCCACTTTGGAAGAAAGTGACAGTTTCTTTAAAAAGCTGAAAATAAGTCTTACTGTATGACCCAGCAACCACCTGCCTTGGTATTTACCCAATTGAGTTAAAAGCTTATGTCTACACAAAAACCTGCTCATGAATGTTTATAGCACCTTTTATTCATATTTGCCAAAACTTGAAGGCAAGCAAGATGCTCTTCAGCAGGTGAATAGGCAAATAAAAACTGGATACAATGGAATATTATTCAGTGCTAAAGAGAAATGAGCTATCAAGCCATGAAAAGACATGAAGGAACCTTGAATGCTTATTCTTAGTGAAAGAAGTCAATCTGAAAAAGCTACATGATATATGATTCCAACTGACATTCTGGAGAAGGCATAATAATGGAGACAGTAAAAAAAATCAGTAGTTGGGTTTTCCTGGTGGGATGGATGAATAAGTGGAGCACAATGGATGTTTAGGACAGTGAAACTATTCATATGATAGTATACACTTACCAAAAGCCATAAATGTACAGCAAATGTGAACTATGGACTTGGCCTGGTAATAATATGTCAGTGTTGGTTAATGGATTTAACAAATGTACCACACCGTGTAGGGTGTTGATGGTGGGAGAGGCTTTATGTTTGGAGGGAGGGAATGCGTATAATATGAAGTAATGCTCAGTGCTTTCCACTCAGTTTTTCTGTGAAACTTAAAACTGCTATAAAAATAAGGTTATTTTAAAATATGTGTATATACACCTATTAAAAAAAATGAAAGCGGTCCCTATTCATTCAACAAACATTTCTGCCTACTATATGCCAAGCAGGTACTAGATATAAGAATATCTGGTGGTAGATACAGGTGATACAAAAAGACATTCATGCATTCAGTAAATATTTACAAAGCACCTATTTAAGGCACTAAGGACTCAGTCATAAATAAATAAAAAAGTACCTTCCTGGAGCTTATATTCTAGTGGGGTAAATGGATGAATGAATGAGTAAACTATGTAGTATTCTAGTCGTGAGTGCTCAAGAGAGAAAAAGATCACCAGAGTTGGATAAGAGATATGCATGTATGTGTGGTGAGTGTATCACAATTTTAGATGCAATCAACAGGAAATATCTCACTGTAAAGGCAATATTTGAATAAAGGAAGTGAGGGAGGAAGCCATGAGGGTATCTTGCAGATAAACATACTGAGCAAAGAGAGGAAAGACAAAAGCTTAGGTGAGAGTACTGCAAAGAGGTACCTGTGAAAGGAACAAGATAGAAAGTAGAAATAGAGGATGAGGTCAGAAAGGTAAGATGAGGGGAGGAGATTATGTGGGGCTTTATAGGTGAATGAGCCCTGAGGCCCTACAGTGTTCAGAGGGTGATGAGATAAGAGAAGCCATCAGGGAAATGGGGAAAGCAGGTCAGGAGGATCCTTAAGAAGTGATCAGTTGTGTCAAGTGCTGCTAATATGTCAAGATATGAACTGAAAACTCACCATTGGGTTTGTTAACATGGAAATTGTCAATGACCACAAAAATGTAGGTTTTCATAATATGGTGGGAGCAAAACATGTTTGGAGTAGGTTCATGAAAAAGTTGGAGGAGATGGGGAGAAAAATGAAAGACTGGGTACATTTAGGTCTTTAAAGAAATTTTTCAGAAAAGGGAATGAGATTTATATATAGCACAGTAGGTGGGAGAAGAGTAAAGAAATTATTAATATTCCATATTTATTCTAAAATACTTTACAGTCCATTGGAGAAGTAACTTCCACTAAATTGGAAATGTTACTTAATAAGGGTGATGATAGAGGTATATGCCAGGTGCAATGGCAACCAGATAAAATTCTTCTTGAGAGAATAATTCTACTTGAGAGGAAGAGAGGAAAGATTTCACAAAGGAAGTCATACTTTTATTAAACCTCAAAATATGAGTAGAGAATTTCCTATTCTGGTCTTGAAAGTACATACAGAATGAATGCTTCTATTGAAAACAATGATGGAAAGTGGGCAAATGGATAAAATGAATGTTTGATGGCATTGGAGAGCAACTAAGAAAGGGAAGATTCAAGAGGCTACTGTCCTATGAACATGAAATGAGCTCCATGTTCATTCACTATAGCTTTTTCTCTGAGGGTATTTCTATTTCTGTACAAAGGATAATAGAACCCAAGCAGAAAGTAGCAGTATTAATGGTTAAGGAGTTCAGAGTTTAGAACTTGAAGAGCAAAAATCCCAGGAGAGAACTATAGAAAAGTAACCCCAAAATTATCTACTGAAGTTCTACTGCATGACTAAACTGCACATATGTAGGGGCAGACTCCCAGAAACCCATTAGGCAAGAGCAGATCATGGGCTGAAAAGCTTAGCAGGATTTTCAGTAGGTTCATGGTGCTAGAGAGATGGAGGTAAGAGCTCAAACCCTGCCAAGCTGAAGGGGCCTCGGAAAACACCCTGGCTTTCCATTGATACCTCAGAAAACAGACAGGCCCTGGGAGTCAAGACCATGCCTCTCTTAGCCTGCTTGGGCTGCCATTACAAAATATTATAGACTGGGTGGCTGAAATGATGCACATTTATATTCTTACTGTTCTAGAGGCTGGAAGTCAGAGATCAGGATACCAGCGTGGTCAGTTCCTGATAAGGTCTCTTCTCTCTTTGGCCTCATACGTGGCTACCATTTCACTGTATGCTCACATAACCTCTTCTTTGTGCACATGTATAAAGAAGGCAAGCTCTGTGGTGTTTCTTATAAGGGCACACAACCCATCATGAGGGTTCCAATACTCATGATCTCATCTAAACATCCCAAAAGCCCCATCTCTAAATACCATTGCATGGAGGGTTAAAGCTTCAACATATGAATGTGGGGCAAGGGTCACAATTCAGTCCATAGCAGTGTGTTCTCAAAGTAACAACATGACCCAAAAATAAGGTCAAAATAGAAATAACCTGGGTCTAACAAGGCCCAGCTATAAACTACCTAAACATGATGATGGTAATTTACTAGTAAACTATTTTCTAGTGGAAACTTAACCTTTTTGAAGGTGAGCAACATTGTTCTGCATCTTTATACTTTCTCATAATGTCTGGCATCCAATAAGAAAGTATGAAACATACTTTAAAAAGCAGAAATCCTAAAAAAAAAAAAAGACAAAATAAATAGCACCACTGGTGATTCAGATATTGAATAATCAGAGTAGAACTTAATTATGATGACTGTTTTAAACAAAGTAGATGAAAAGATGAAGAATCTCACCAAAAACATGGAAGGTGTTTAAAGAAAGTCAAATGGAGGTTTTAGAACCTATAAAAGATTATACTTGAAGTTAATAAATAGGGTTTAACAGCCAATAAGAACAAAGGATTAGGGAATTGGAAGACAAGTCAGTAAAAATATCCAGACTGAATAAAAGAAAAATAGATGGAAATAGAAGGAAAACTGAAAAGAACAAGAGGCAAATGGAACATGACTACAAATTTTTACACCATTGAAATGCCACAGGGAGAGAATGGATAGACAAAATATAGGAAAAATACTGGTTAAAGATTTTCCAAATTTAATGTAAAGCATTCAGTAAACTTTATAAAACAATACAGGATAAATATAAAGAAAACCACACCTAGATGCAGAAGAGTCAGCTGGGAAAAATCTTAAAAGCAGCTGGTGACAAAAGGTATTACCCTCAGGACAGTAACAGAAATACAGATGGCTTATTTTTCAACAGCAGTTGGAGCCAATGAATTTTCACCTTCAACATGATAGGAAAAAACTATATATATATTTCAACCTAAAAATTCTATAGCCAGCTAAAATAGCCTTCAAAACTGAAAGCAAAAATTTTTTTTCAAACAAAAGCTTACAGAATTTGTTGTCAGAGCAGCATTACAAGAAATACTAAAGGCTGAAGAAAAATGATCTCAGAGCACAGAATGACAAGAAGGAATAAAAGCATACTGGGAAGGCTAAATACTTATGGATAAATATAAATAAACATTGAAAGCTTAAAATAATGATGATCTCTCATGGGCTTTAAAACGTAGAAATACAGCAGAAGTTAAGAAAATTAAACTATCCTTAGTTTATAACATTGTGAAGCAGTAAAAATCCTAATTTCTGGAAGATATACATAAGATAGTTTAATTTTTATAAGATTAATGTAATAAATGTAAGAATGGGTAAGTAAAACCTACTATAGGGAAAATGGAATAATATAAAATATTTGCATATTCCAAAATGAAGCAAGGAAGGAGAAATAAAGGAACAAAGACAAATGGGACAAATAGATGGCAATAGCAATGTGGTAGACTTAAATTATGTTCTTTAGCCACTGTGAAACTAAACAATATCAATAACAGAAAGATAACTACAAAATTCCTAAATATTCAGAAATTAAGCATCACAATTCTACATAACCAGTGGGTCAAGAAAATATTAAAATAACAATTAGAAAATGTTTTGAACTGAATGAGAATGTGTGTGTGATGTGTGTGTGTGAGAGAGAGAAAGCCAAGTCACTTGTCAGAGGGATATTTCTGGTTCTAAATGCATCTATTACAAAGTAAGAAAGACTGAAAGTCAGTTATTTGAGTTTTCATCTAAGAAGCTGAAAAATGGAACAGCAAATTTAAATATAGCCAGAGTCTAATAAGTATTAGAATAAACCATTGAAATAAATACCAAACATATAGCAGAGGAAATCAACAAGAACAAAAGTTGACCCTGTGCAAAGATTAAAATTAACAACCCTCAACAAAATTGGCCCCATTTAAAAACAAGAGAACTCACTGATATCAGGAATGAAAAAGAAGACATTAATACGAAATCTTAAAGGACTAAAAAGAAAATAAGGGATTATTGTTAACAACTTTAGACCACTTATTTGACAATGCAGATGAAATAGAAAACTTGCTTGAAAACAAACTTGCCAAAACTGAACCGAAAAGAAAGCGATATTGGAATAGTCCTGTATCTGTTGAAGAAATTGAATGTCATCATTAAAAATCAAAGAAAACGTCGGCGGAGC